TGGCTCTTAGCAAGTTAAAAATGGATTAATTTCAACCACAAACACACCTTTGGTAAATAACAGATCCTGTTTCCCTTTGCAGAGAATGTGTGGGCTCTTTCTGGAATAAGCAAGCAAAGCCCAGCAATTCTCACTCTGAATACTATAATTTGCTCATCCATAAATTCATAGTATCTAAACTGTTTCTTAGACAAACAGAATGTCTACTTAGAAAGCAATTCAGCAAGAAACAGCATGATATGGATCACGGGTATAGATACAAATCTATGTATATACAAACACACATACACAAAAAGTAAAGCAGTGCTTACACTAAGTGTGATTTACATACATGAAGGGGTAAGCAGTCAAGCAGATGGAGCCAGATCTTCAGCCTCTGTGTGCTGTGTATGTGCTAACTTGGAACAGGGAAACTTCACAAAAGCAAGCCTGAGATTTAACAGTAAATCTAACACCAAGGAATGCTGTGGAGACAGGCACATGGCAGGATGGCTTTGTAGAAAGAGTAGAATCGTATTTAATACAATTAAAAGTAGTTACTTCAGTCAAGTCAGCCCTGGTTAAGTCTCCGTTAGAGTTCATTTGCAACTGATGGTGAAATCCTTTGAATGTGCAAATATTAAATGCTTTATTAATATTATTCTTGCAACTGCTGCAGGAACAGGCAGGGCCAAATCCTCGGAATACTGCAAGCTTGTAACATGACAAATAAGGCCAGTACTTTTGCCTGGCTAGCTTTAACACATTTCCTTGTTGTATGAACCAAGCATCGGGCTTAAAAATACAGGAAAGCTCAGGCCCTACTTTACCACCAAGGCAATCACTTCTGTAATCCAACATAAACTAAACAGCCATGTCCATCATACATCACCCAACACCAGCACATAAAGACTGAGTATTTACAGAAAAAGGGCAATGAAAACTGTGAGATGGAAATAAAGAGGCGCAGGGGAAATCTACTGGCTGTACTTTGAACTTCTATAACAGGATTAAAGTCTTGTGCCCTGCCAGCACTGTCATGCAGAGCACTGAACCCCTCCTTGGTAACACAAACTTAGGCAAACACCCCAAAAAGATCAGAAAGCGATGACTGAAAGTATAGGGTAGAGAAGGAAATGAGACACTGAGTTAGGAAAGGTTAAAAGGAGTAGGTCAGGTTCAGCCCTGCAAAGCAAAGACTTAACTGCGTGCAACTATATAAAGGAGGTTATAAAAGAGACCAACAACTGATTGTTCTCCCTAGTGAAGGACTGAACAAAAAACCACTGAGATGAAGCCATAAAAAGGAAAATGAAGGACTGAGAAACTTTCTAATTTAAGCAGTGGAACAAACAGCCCAAAGGCTGTCTACTACTCATCGCTGAGGGTATTCAGGCTTAAGTAAACACCCATCTGTTAAAGGATGTTTTGTTGTAATACCTCCTGCAAGGCGGTGCAATGAGAGTCCCACCGAAGACTGAGGACACAACACCTACAATTCATTTCTTTCATTAATTTCATCAATTAATTTCAGGTTTTGAAACATTTACTCAGAGCAAACATCTGGTTCTTAATCCCCCAGTTAATGCTGCTTTCAGCCCTAAGGAATTAATCATAGAAATCATGGAAAACAGTTTATTTGCCAGCAATGGAGTAAAACAAATTGCCTACCAACGTCTACACTGCTAATAGAGCAGGAGAACTGTCCTTTTTTCCCCTCCTTTTTTGACATTTTAATTTAAAAAATAAAGAGTAGAAAGTTGTCCCCAGGCAGAGCTTTGCAGCAGTGTGTCAGCAGAGGATTACACAGCACTGCAGACTCAGGCTCTCACCCATGGTACTGACCTGCGATCTAAGGATGAGAAGTACTGTAAAAAGGGCTGGATATTATCATTAGTATTCAGGAGGCCAGAATTCCATGGCTTAGGTTGAATTCAAAGGGATCTTCTGAAAGCAGACACATTTGAGAGAAGAGCTCTGCTGTGAAGGCAGGCGGGCTGCCCAGGCCGGGGCCAGGCCATGCTTCCTGCCACCGGCTCCCGGCAGGCTGCGCTGCAGACTTGCTTAGTATCACTGAACCAAACCAACTCCTGCTCCCATTTTGTTTTCACCACTTCCACAATGTAGTATTTTAACCTATTAACAACTACAAAAAGGTAATGGTAAGGTAATATTTAAGTTGCCATACTGATAAAGAAAATCTGTATTACTTATTGCATTCTCAGAACCCATGTGTTCTGGCACTCCTGTCTCCTCCCTTCATGCCAAAGAGCTTTCCCAGCTACAGCTGGCCACCAGAAGATACTCACTTATAGAGTCCCAACCTGGTTTGTGCTGGAAGGGACATTAAAGCTTATCCAGTTCCAACCCCTGCCACAGGCAGGGACACCTTCCACTAGAGCAGCTTGCTCCAAGCCCCTGTGTCCAACCTGGCCTTGAACACTGCCAGGGATGGGGCAGCCACAGCTTCTCTGGGCACCCTATGCCAGCACCTCAGCACCCTCACAGGGAAGAACTTCTTCCCAATATCTAATCTAAAGCTAACCTCTATTCCATGAACACCTCTCTTGCCATCCCTTACACCCTGCAGCTCAATGGATTTACACCCCACTGCTTCCAGCTACTGTGACGAAATTAAATGCAATGGAAAACCAACCACCATAATCATTCCAGCCCTCTGGCTTTAAAGATGTCCCTACCTGTGGGAATGGAACGTGCTGTTCATCAGCTGATTCGCCCAACTCTGCCACTACACGAATTTTAAATAAACATCTTTAATTCTCACAAAACAGACTTTTCAATACATACCAAATACAAGCAACATGCATTACGATTCTGTGCAGCAGCCCAGACTCTCAATAATAGCTCCGAACGTCTCTGTTAGCTTCAGGGACTCTAATTGACCACTATAATTTACTTCAAGGTTAGTGTGATTTGGACAGCCCTTGAATACGTGTTTTTGTTACTAGAGCCTTCTGTGCACTTTCGCTGCGGTCAAGCTTTTTTCTACCTACTAATTTCACATTTTGTGCTGTGTGAATACTCCTAAGACATCAGTTAGTAACATGAGGATCCGAGTAATTTCTCCATATGCTCCTTCAAATCTCTTCAGGTAATATTTCTTTATCAGCACATTCACATTGGCAGCTGCTTTACCTGTGCATCTTTCTACAACAGAACTCTGTTTCTTATTTGTTGTCTGGCCTTCATTAAATTCGCAGCTGCTCTAAGATCTTTGTATCATTTATTAGTGCTACTAGATACCATGAAGCGATGTATTAAGGGGGAAAAACACCTCTAGCTAGTTTTAGAAGAAATAATTCTGAAAGCCTTGTTAAAAATTACATTTGTGCTTTGGGGTTTGGTTTGTTTGGCGTTTTTACCCTGCATTCCAGACTGTTGTTTCTCTACTTACTTCTCTATGGTTCCAGTGTACTTCAGATGATAATACATTTCCATATAGAGTCCTGAAAGATAGATCCTTTACCATTCAGAGTTGACAAGTATTGAACTCATTCAGTCCAAGCCATATATGCGTTCTTATTAATTCTTTTCTTTCCAAATTGGATCAAAACTGCACATGTTCCTATTCCTTCAGTTCACTCTGGTATCAGTTAATTCAAAGATCTGCTATGTGTCTCTAGCTAGGTCTTCAGCAGGGTCAGGGAACAGGACACAAGGTAAGAGCCAAGATACTACGGAGATTAAATTGCCGTGATTAAAAAGGAACAACATCCAGAACAATGAAATACCAGAAAGCTGCAACATTCCCAATTAACTCTGGGGATGCCACAGCCAAATCAATTCGAACGAGGCTTTACATGCTCTGAAAGATCCTGTTCTGAACAAGCTCCAATAATAAAACCACCCCACAACTTAACCAGCCTTTAGTGACGGAGAAACTGCAGCTAGGCTGGTATCTTGTGCGCTTGTTTTCTACTGACAAAAAGCATACAGAGATGAAGACTGGGCTGTCAATCAGGGAGCTATTGTATCAGCTCTATATGGTAGCCTTAGCACACAGTGAGCAATTACAAGTCTCTTATCCCAGTAATTACAGCCATAAGAATACCTCTTGAACAACACAACATTCCGGTTCTGCCACATAGCTCATGCTTCTCAGAGTGCAATGCACTAACTGTAACAAATACTTCCTTCTTAAGACTGAAATCAAAGTCTTAACTGGCTGGTCAGGTCTCACTATCATTATTTCCATTAGAGGGGCTTGTGCTGCTACTGTAGGTGGCAAGGAACACAAACTTAGCGAGCTTAAGTTCTTTTTCAATGGGAACAAAGCATTCCACAACATTTTTAAGGCTAGAGAACTGACTCCCACACATACCACAACGGTGACTCCAGTGGGAAACAAAACTATTGGAAATCACCATTATTGTGAGCTCTTCAGAGAATATTCCTACCACGTGGAAGACTGATATTATTGGATGCTCTCGATATATGTTAGTAAATTAGATATTCTGGTAACTCCCTGTTGGAAATGGGTGGGTTTTGCACATGAAAATTGCAGTCTGAAATCCCAGCCAAATCAAGCACTGACTACTGCAGTTCGTTTTTTAGGAGTTTGTCTTTCTCAGAATTAGAATTTAAAGCTGTCAGTTAAGAGCTAAATGGTTACTGGAACGTCCAATATTCCCAGGCATTACAACACTTTATTTTTTCTGACCTCTCAAACATGTCTCTCCCAGAAAAGCCAGCTTTGCGATTCTGAAACATGCAAAAAACTGGCCAAGCCTTAGAATGTTAGACCTGAAACACTGCTTCTCTGTTGAACACAGGATTAAAGTATAAATAAGCTATGTAAAATGACTCAACAAACATATCGAATGGCAAATGTTGGGAAAAGACACGCACATTTATGAACTCTGTTGTCAAATTATTTTGAACACAAAAGTCATACTGGGTTCTGGTTTGGTACCCAGACCCTGTACACACCCATTTAGGGCTCAGAACTGATTCTCTCGGAGAACAGCATCTCCCCACTGTTGCTGGGGATTCTTACTTACCAGTTGGGACAGCAGGATCCATTGTTGGCTTTTCCCAGGTATTGATCTGCTCCCACGTAAATCCATTGGTTCCCAAGGCCACACTATAACCACAATTACTGTAGTGCTCATCAAACGAACAACCACCTAAAACCAAGAAAAACAAACACATTCCTGTATTATTTGTTTATCCCTCATTATGGCCGGTCAATTACTTAAATATTTCATATTCAAGTTTACCCAGGGGAAAAAAAAAAAAAAATTAGATTTCAGGCAGCAGAGGAGGTATTCAGAAAACATTTCTGTTCTTTCCCCACTTTGTATCCATTGGAAGCCTTTGTTTTCTTCCCTCCATGCTACTGTTTCCTAGATCAGTTCCCTTTATTTCAGCTTATTGCCTTTACATTTACAAGCATATGATGTGCACATGCAAGAAAATTTGCATTTGGGTCCCTGAAACTGAGAGTTCATTACATAACCCCCCAAGTCAGGTATTAAAAGCAAAAATACCCCAAAAAAATAGAACAGGAGAGTGAGAAGTGGGAGGACGGAAGAAGGAACACAGATGGTAAACAAGTACACTGCTGCTCCTACAGGTAATCCTCACTTCACTTTTAAGCCTCGAATTACACAAGGTTGGGTTACACCTATGGAAAGTGCAACCTGCCTTTTAACCATCTCTTCTGCATAACAACATGCAGCTCTGAGTGGCACATGACCATTCCTCAAGGTCTTTCCATACTTTTGAATGCAGTGTTGTTCTTGACAACAAGAGAGTAACAAGGAGTGGATGGCAACCCACATTCACACCTTCCAGACTGTTGACTGTGATCTTCACTACTGCAGTTCCTGAAATACTTGGAAGGAGTTAACTGTCACAAATAACCTGGCAGCTGCCTCAACACTTGTGGATCAAGGGAAATCCATGAACACTGCAATGAAATTCTGTATTCCAGCACAGATTTGAAATGTGTGTCACACAGACAAATCAAGCTACTTTATTCCCTGCTAGGATGGATATTCCTCTGCTGGTGTCCCTTACAAGTACTTCGGGCACATTTCCTCTTCACATCCACCCAACTTAGTCTGCCAAACATATTCCAGTACTGGATCTATTAGATCAGGCATCCCAGGTCCTTGAGTTTAGACATTAATCATGTCAACAGTGTCTCTGTACAGCTCTGGCTTTCTCTCTTATGGAAGCAAGGATACATTTTCTCTGCAGATACTATTCCTCCACAGGCAACTGGACATCTCACACTTCCAGGCTGCAAGGACTGAGCTCAAGGCAACACGAACTTGCTCTGCCAGCCAAGCTGCCAATTGCTCTTGACGCTAATCGGAGTTACAGGCAGAGATGCTCCTGACTCTCTACTCCTTCCCACAGGCTGCACTGCCTATATGCACTGAATGAATAGATGGAACATGAGTGATCCATGGTTCTTCTTTAAGGATTATCCAACATGGGGACATAGAAGCCTTCTTTGGTTTCCATCTATATTTTCTATTGTCTAGTTCCAGAAAAGCCCAAACTTGTCTTTGTTCCTGTAGAACTCTTCATAAATGATGAACACAAATATATACCATGTCATTAATATTTATTAAATCCTCATTCTGCTAACGGATTTTATGCTCACTCCAACCACATCTGGTTTTCTACAAAGATTCACACAGTATTTCTATTTAAGTGTATACTGGAAGGATTTGTTGGGTAGAGTGCCTGACACCCCAAAAAAATCACAGAATCACAGAACAGGGTTGGAAGACCTTAAGATCCTCTGGTTCCAACCCCCTGCCATGGGCAGGGACATCTCACACTAAACCATGTCACCCAAGGCTCTGTCCAGCCTGGCCTTGAACACCGCCAGGGATGGAGCATTCACAACTTCCTTGGGCACCCTGTGCCAATGCCTCACCACCCTTACAATAAAGTAAAAATACCCTGTTGCTGAAGAAGACTTTAAACACAAGCTTCTCCTAAAAAAACATTTGATAGACCATATATTTCCATGATAAATAAATCTGACTACAGCACATTCTATAACCCTCGTAAACTTGCCTGTTAGAGTCAAGTCTCTAGAAATATTTCCTTTGTGTCATTATTTTACACTATTTTAGTAATTTCTTCTTTAAGTTTACTGCACTTGTGAAGCTTTGCCAGCTGTCAAAATGAGCAGGATTACACTTAAAATGTTTCCTTAATTTGATAAATCTAATATAGGTGAAAAAGTTCAAGTTTAGAATATTAAACATGCTCATTAAAACGTCTAGGGGAAAAATCAAGGTGTTCCAGATTGTGTGGGAGTATGCAATGCAACTGAAAGTCACCTTTTTCACAGCGAGAGGGTATGAGAGACATCAAACTGCCTGTTCTCAGCCTCCAACCAGAGCATTCTAATTTTGACAGATCCCCTTTAATAGCACAACTCCAGACACAAACCATCCCCACACAACCTCTGCTCAGCGCAATGCAGCGCACAATAACGGTGCTGTCTCTGAGCTATCACTTTGAAGGGATTGCACACAAAGTCTCTGATGGAGCCAGACAATTGTACGAGGCCTCACGCACACAGAGAAAATTGCACAGGCACTGTTCCGAGGTCCCAGAAGCAAAACAAGCAACAGCAGCAAAATATGGGGTAGCAATCCTCATATAACAGGGAATGTAACTATCAATACCTTGCTCTAATCAGCTAAGTAAGTTATTTTACACACGCTGAAGCAGGCAAAGTCAGCAGAGGGGCTGAGGAGAGGATACGGTGAGAACCTGGGCAAGACTGGGAGTTTCCACTGATAAGAGACAACACCTGGGAAAGCTTCTAAAGTGCCTTGTCTGAAAGTCAAAGCTAACCTTGCAGTACAATTAGGTAAGAAAGGCAAGAATAAACCATATAGAGGCTGAAAAATAGCAGCAAGGCACCTACATTTTAAAGACCTAACAGATTAGTGGAGAAACCTCCAAATGCGGAGTGGCAGGGCAATAAACCAGAAGGATTAATTTACCAGATAACAGAATTGGAGCTTGTAGGTGAATTTGCAGGAAATGAGGACAAGGAGAAAAAACCTGAGTCAACTTTAATGCTCAGACAAGCAGGCTGGCTGCAGGAATCTCGGGTACCCAAGAGGAGGGAAGTCTCCATCTGCTTCTTGCTATGGGGCGTCAAAAGAGCAGAATTAAAAGGGAAGTTTGGACTCAGAGCTGTATTAACTTGGTAGATAAAAGTCAGCAACTCCTCTGCACTATTACAGCATACATAATACTACAGAACAGGAAAGAAACTTCAGAAAGAGGAAGGGAAAAATCACAACATGTACAGTATTCCAGATGTAGCAGTTACTTGTTCATACCTGCCAAACGAGCGTACCATAGGTGGCCTTACTCCTACCCTTCCTGCAGAGCACGGCACACAGCTCCAGTTACAGGCAGCCACGCTCAAAAGCGGCTCTGAACCTTCCACCTCACCTCGAGAATTCCATGCCCACCGCGCTCCCCTCAGGACGGTTTCCCTCACTCTTCCTCCCCCTTTTCCCGCCCTTTCCCCTTCCTTAAGCGCGCTCCCGCAGCGCTCCGCCCCGCTCCTGCGCACTGCGGGGCAGCGCAGCCCGCTCTCTCCTCGCCGAGGCCGCGCCTCCAGCACGGGGACGTGGAGCCGGGCTCTTAGACACACACCGGCTTCCGAAACGCAAACCCAGCCGCGGCTCGTGGTTACCCGTCCCGCTCCTGGAGGAGGCGCTTCCCGTGCTCACCGCCTGGATCGAGCGTTCCGCGCTGCAAGATCCCTAAGCACGCGGTTACACCCCGTTAGCGAAGTTCAGTTTAGACTACATTTCAAGCGTCCACTTCAGTGGGGGTAATAACTGTCAAGTGAACTGACAGGCGAAATTGACCAGAGAGGTTACGTTCATAAGCTTAACTTCAAGTATTTCCGAAGACACACTGCTTACGTGGATACCTAAATATGAGCTACACCTAAATACACTAGAACGTAAAGGGGAAGAGGGGAAGGTTAGATCCATCCTAATGCAGAATCATCCATTGCTGAAACACGACTGCTTCGCAGGAAAGCAGAGCTATTCATAAACATAGAATAATAATCCTCAAATTGAAAGACAAAGATACCACTCAGTGAATTTAGGTGCCAGGTTGGCACGTTATCATTTTAGCCGCAGTATCAGAAAGGTGTTTGAGTAACATGAAAACACCTACACATCTGCTAAAACAGGGTTCTACAGCTTCATGTATTAACAAGAATGAGGATTTTTTAGGAAGCTAACAGGGATCTTGGAGTATTTCCCATGTTTGGCTGAAAATTAAACAGTGACAAATGCAGCTGCTAAGCGGGGCAAAAGAAAAGCGAATGGATATGACTGATATTGTTAGATAATGCATGTGGTGTTGACCCCTTTTCACAAAATGAAACCCAAACAAGAAGCTCTTCTCTTCCTGAAAAGGGTCATACTGAAGCAAATAACAGCTCACATAGGAAGGATAAAATATCCCTTGTTTTACACTGCAGGCTTGTAACAATGCCACTGCTCATCTGAATGATGCTAATTAATCTTGAGCAGACCTATCATCAGTCACTGAGACTTGCCCCCGGATTAAATGTAAACCAGCCTTGCATAAATTGAATGCTTCCTTTGAATATATAATTGAATTTGCAGAAATGTGCGCCAGGGGGGTGTTTAAATAAGTGCACAAATATGATAAAAAGAACTTCACGCCATAATATCTAATTCAGTAAGCAAAAATAATGGCAGGGCACAGTCCAATTAGTATTTGATTTATTTATTTTAACAAATCCAATTAGGAAAATGTTTTATAAAGTCATCCAATGTCAAACTCCCTACGACAAAACAGATCTAAAAAAATCCAATACTTCCAAAAAGAGATAAAGAAACACTGCGTGAGAAACCTCACTGGTTATCCTATGCTTCTAAATACACACAGAAAACAGCACAGATTCAGACATCGTTTGGAGTGCTTACAACATTCCCAAGGTGGGAAGGGGGTAGAGACATAGCAAGTACATCAGTCTCCTTTGTCCCATTTCAGGTCTTTTTCTGGGACATAATAAATAAGGGAGAAAAGTAACTACTTAAGAAAAAAAAAAGGTGGGGGGGGTGGTGGATAGCACAGAAATGCT